CAGCAAAATCGGCTGCAAAACAGCTACAAAACAAAGCTGGAGGAGTGTCAAATGGTGGTTCTCCGCAACGTCTTCCGACTAAAAGGAAACAGATATTGAACAAACTTCTTCAGCACATGCATTAGTGCACGTGGTCCAATGGTATAAAAAAAGAACTTACCGCTGAAGGTTAAAATTCCATGGGAAAATTTAGGGGGTAGCACCCAAACCAAAACTACTAAGCGTAAGGTAGAAAATAAAAAGGTGTAAATTGGTGGTTGGAGCCTAATATCCCACAATCTGGAAGATATTACAAACGACCCACGCACTACACCTCAGCAGGAAAGTAAATGTCGCAGAACACCTAACTTTTTAAAAGAAGGTTCAATGGGTGACCCTTGAAGAAGGTACTATGTTAAATAGGAAACCAAAAGAAACGGAGAAAAACTGGTAAAGAACACAATACTGAATCGATAAGAAAGAAAGATATAATACGTGTGAAATTATTAAATCGATAAACTATGGAATTTGCCAAAACAAAATTATTGAAAATAATAAAGAGAAATTCAAATTACTGGTAAGTGATCAAAATAGTAAAAAAAGGTTACGTGATTTTGGCACGTTAAAACGCTGTATGCACTTCTGTAAGCAGGTAGCATGCTATTATTGCGTGTTACTCTACGAGCGTTCTTCATCCATACCAACCATGAAGCATCCGGAATAAGTAAAAATCCCCCGCAATTCTAATATCTCTAATCGCCATCTCGTGATCATACAGGAACTGTTTCGCACACAACAACGAGAGTCACAATAAAAATCCAAAAACCGCGAACCTCTCTCATACATTCCAAGTCGAATTGAGATATCGTGGGTACCATGGGTACTACTCACGCTTCCTCGATTCCTCTGTTTCACAGGTATGGCTAGTGTATATAAATATACAACATGCATATTGGATGATGCAGTATAGTACCACAGTTAGTTTTGACAAAATCTTGTTTTATCTAAGGCTACCAAACATTGAACGTTTCAAATAGAGCACATTGGGCAGGTGAAAATATGAAAATAAGTTCGTATACACATTATGCAGAGTATAAGGTTTGTCGAAATAAGTGAGCACAAAATGCTAAACTATATTAGTTTTGGTTAAAAAGATCCTTGTGAACTCTTTTATTATGTTCTTAAAAAAATGGCGTCAAATAGTTTATTATAACAAAGAAAAAATGAACTACGGACATGTAAAACACAAAAAAGAATTAAGTGGATCAAATGAGTCAAACCTGGCATATGCAAATGGTCCATAGTACCACCCATTTGATAACGCTGCGATGTAGATAAGTATTCCATTTTCTTAATGGAAACTGGAAGTGTCGACCATCTGGCAACATGATCCGTGCTATGCTGGTCAGCTCCAGCAGTGTGGCGATGCAAGATTATGCGGCGGTCGCAGAAAGGATTTTATGGGCACCGGAGTTCGTACCGTACGGCAAGTGCGACATAGACGCGACATGTTTGTTTGATATACATATCTTCAAGTTTTTAGAGCAAATATACGAGGAAGTCTATGATATACGTATCAATATTTGCATCGAAGTAGCGGAATTGGAACGGTATAAATATATCACGAAAAAAAATTGAGATATAATTTTCTCCACCCCCTACATCACCAACCCCAATTTTTTTGCCCCTACAAAAGTTTTTCTGAAAATGATCAGGAGCTTCTGAAGTGTTAAGAAACGAAGTTTGAGAGATTTTGATTTTTTACGTGTTTTGCCCGCCGCCATTGTACCGATTTTCAAACTCCAGCTTTTTCGTCCTTGATATAGTAGTAACCTTGTGTGAGACAGACAGAGAGGCCGACAGACAGACCGATATAAAGACCGACAGACAGACAGACAGGCCGATAGACAGACCGACAGACAGACGAAAACAAGTGACATGGTTTGTCGTGATGTACATCGTGGGAAGTAGAAGTGATAAGCAAATTCATGTACTACTGGTTATCATTATTTAAGAATTGCAGGGTACAATGAGCTTTTCGATCTGTCCAACCTGCGTGACCATTTTAACTCAAAATGACCGATCATAAAATTCTCGTGTCAGCCGACTTGTAATTGAAATTACGGTGTGTAATTCTTAATTGATTTAGTGGTAGGCACACACTTCAGGCGGCCAATGATAAACGGTGTCTACAGTCCAAGTTTAAATAACACTGATAGTAGGGTCACTCAGCGGTCAAGCCATCTTATGTTCATCCACCTTCACGGAAGCAGCTAAAGGCAAGAAATAACGTGCTTCCTTTGGTTGAAGCGAATATCTTGCCAAACTGCCCGGCTAGGAACAGGTTATTGATGTTACTAGGTCCAGCACGTAGCACAGTCTATACTACTTACATAGTATCCATCCGGTATTATACCCCTTTGACCGACCAAAACAAATGAGAAACTTATGAAAGTTCAGAATTATTGAAATGAAGTATACGGGATGTGCTTAAGTTTGGGACTTTCATTTACAAAGCGAACGGGTTATTCAACAATAAACTAATTTTCCTAGTAACACATATACCAAAGAAAGGCTTGAGGTGCTACCTGTTTTTTAAACCCTTTTTATCTAATTATTTGATGGTATGTAAAGAGATGAATAAAAAGCAATGCTATCAATTTTTTGTATCAAACAATGAATTTTTTTTGGCAATGTTATTGTGCATTTTTTCTTCAATCGTAACTTGTTAACAAATATTAGTACCACTTCGAAAATGTATATGAATATTGCACTTTTATGGAAGAAGGAAACGGGTGATATTTATTTATTTTTATTTACTCTTATTCTTATCACTTTTCCAAGAGAAGAAAAGATGTTTAGGAAAAAGTATTATATATAATTTGTTAACAAGTTACAATTGAAGAAGAAATAGATAAAAATGCACAAAAATGCATTTTTTACAAAAAAGAAACGGATGACATTGGTGGACGCAAAGTTTTGCTTCTTTTTTCTTACGTCGTAGATTCCCCCATCGTCCCATGGCAATCAATATCGCTATTGTCGCAATTAACGTTGGAAGTGTTTTCTATATGTGGATGTTCAATTGCAACCGGTTCTTTGAATTACTGTTTTTGAAAAGTGTCGCATGGTAGGGCTTTTCCCAGTGTGCACCATTTTGCAAATTACATAGACGTGTTGCGGCTTGTGGTCAACACATCGTTCAATTCATAAGTTATATATATTCGGCACAAGTTTGTCCGTCTTAGAAAAGTATTGGTTACGAACATCTAGAACAAATGAAGTAAATGGATTATACGATATATAGTCCAACAACGCGGTCTACCAACCAGCAACGTCGCCATCTATTATTATGATATACATGAAATCATGCTTGATTGTCCCTAGCCATGAAAGCAGAGAAGCGCGCATTCGTTGAGTTGTCCTGCATGCGTACATCGAAGACACATATTTATGTTTCAATTTTTAAGTTTAATCTTTGATTTATGATATATGTCTAATAGGTGCGTAGAATTATCAAGGTTGGAAACTGATAAATTGCTAGCACCAAAAAAATGGAGATATACTCTCATCCACCTCCAACATCAATTTTTGAAACCTTGCAAAAAAAACTACTGAAAATGGCCGACAGACCGACCGCCGGAGCACCCGAAAGGCGGACCGACAGACAGACCGACAGACAGGCCGGCAGACAGACAGACAGACAGACTCACAGACCAACAGACTAACAGATAGACCGACAGGAATGCTTGATATGGTTTTTCGTCCAGCCAGTTGCGTCGGAAGTGAAAGATGAATAGTCGATAGAACCGATATATCTGTCTTTGATATGTCGGTATCGGCCGATTATCGGTATTGGCAATAACCTCGAATCGATCAATCCCTAGTTGACACTAATTTCATAACGAACAATTTTTGTACCATCTTTATACTGCAATTAATCGAAAGAACGATAATTCCTATAATATTAATTGTTGTGATACTAATAAAGATATTTTATTATTATTATTATTGTTATACTTTGGATAAATACCAACAAAATAACGCTACCCTCTTTTCTTTAGAAACTGACCGTTCATTTAACATTCATGGTCTGTTTGAGGAATGCCGACTTGTAGCAAAACCTAGCATGGTACTCTGGAATAGATCGGAATAGATCTGAAGAACATGAGGCTACAGATTTTTCTGCTTTTCAAGTCAAACGAAACCACATATGTAAACATTGTCTTTACTGACGTTTCGGTCACCACGTAAAAAAGGCCATCGTGGTGGCAGAAACGTCAGTAAAGTGTAATTTCTGCATAAATTGTTTCATTTGGCCAGTGAAACGTGAAGCTCTATCACCACAGGATAAGTTTCAGTTGCATTAACATGAAGCTATCTACAACCAGTGAGCTAATTATTTGTAGCGTGTAAACTTCGTCTACTCTCATGTCCATACCAGAGCAGACCTACTAATAAAAGTAATAATTACTGAGGCTCCCCTTCAGTAATAAACGCCAACATGTGCATGGTAATCAATTAAGTACACGAAGTTGCCTTAATGCCGTATCAGGCCATGGGCGGGGCTAAATGTGGGTAATGTTGAGGAAATTCCATCACTATATCAGTAGTTCGAAAAATGCTATGAATGTTGTGTAATTATATACGTTGGATATGGATGGATACTTCCTGAGGCAATCAAGATCAGAGCAGGAGTTGAAAATCGAATCAAGAAGACTAACTAGTTACTTTCATAAGTAACACTGAGAAATCACTTAGTTATGCGAAAAATGCTCCGAATGTTGTGTATTGCGAATTGGTTAAGGACATCAAGCTGAATACATTCTGGAGTAGTAAAGACTATTATAGTAAAGGGAGCTCTGTATGCCGTCAAGTTTTCTCACCATTTTAGAACTATTATTTATTGACTTAATTTAAGTGATATTAAAACATTTTAGTCGTCTTTAAAGATTCATGTTTTTCGGAGCTAGGTTACATAATCACGATTATAAATTTTGCATTATCTAACATCCTTACAGAAAAGACCCGGCAACGAGGGTGGAACCATAATACTGGGTGCCGAGTACTCTGCATTCTTCGAGTTGAAACCAAGGTAACTGAGCTAAAAAAACTCCCAAGCAGCATTCGAGAACATAAGAGATGCTAGGCTGGCTGCTTGGTGTATATACAGGGTGTAAACGTAAACGGCATTTTTTTAGAGAAAAGCGACTTTAAAGTAAAATAAACTCTGACAACGCCGCAATGCCAGACGCAAATTACGACGGACCGCAGTGTAAATAAAGATGGACTTTGTTATTTTTGGCTCTTAGGTATTATTTCATTATTAATTTGATAACGTACTCGTAAAATGCAAGCAATTGAAAAACGGACTTACCACTAACTGTCTCAGCGCTTCACCTGGTGTGTGAAAGTTTATTGAACGTATTAGAAAAATCCACTTATAAATAGGGAACACAATTTTGATACATCATTGTATTTCTTTTTAAAACGCACACTGCACTTTTTTTGTATTTAAGGAAGGTGTTCAAAATGTCGTCCTCCACTTTCCACACAAGCTTCATTATGACGAACCCAGTTTCTTCTTACTCTAGGTCCTCGAAGTTGTCCATTTATTGTTTCAGTCGCATTAAAAGTTGTTTCGCGAAGTTATGCTTCAGTTGTTATTGGACCAGCCCCATAAACCATCCCTTTGAGTTCCTCCCAATACCAGAAATCCATCGGATTGAGGTCAGGAGGCCTTGCTGGTCATTTTCGAGGATCAGGAGCATTTCGACCGATCCATCGATTTGGATAATGTTCATTCAAATACTGAATGACGCGTCTAAAAATGTGTGGTTGTGCACCGTAATGAAGAAACCACAAATTCTGTCTCCGTTGTAATGGCATGTTGTCTAAGGTCTGTTCCAAAAGTTCTGGTAGGTTATTGGCTAGAAAGCTAAGGTATCCTTCTCCTGACAACTTTGGGGGTAACTCGAAAGGGCCGATTACCTGCTCGTCAAGAATACCCGCCCAAATATTTATTTTAAAACGTTGTAAACACGACTGGTATGAGGATTTTCTTGGGCCCACGTGTGAGTATTAGGGAAATTTAATATCCCCTCTGGCACAAAAGTACATTCGTTCGTCGCTAGATTGTTTTTAAAAAAAATCTGATTTTCAATCTTTTTGTGCAAAAACCACTGACAGAATGTTAGTCTGCGAGGATAGGCTTCTGGTAATAAGGCCTGCACTCGTTGTACATGGTAGGAACAAAGCAAATTTTGCCGTAGGTTGCTATGGACTATGGTATGCGATAGTCCTACGCGGCGGTCTAATTCCCGAATGCTGATATCTGCATTGATTTCCACGATATTTAAAATTTGTTCCTCATGCTGTACAGTACCTGTCTTTCACGAGTGCGAATATTAGTGGGCTGAACACTTCCTGTATCTCGAAGTTTTGGTACACTTGCACAAATGTGCTTCTGTCTGGGTGTACCCGTTGGCGAAATCTGACGCGATAAATTTGAGCTGCAAGATTTGAATTCTGACGAGTTTCACCGTAAACTAACAACATGTCGGCGAACTCTTGATTCGAGAATATTGTAAATAAACACGACGACGTACGCGAACAAAAACAAGAAAACACGCCCGATGCTCTGCTCGACAAAACGATAAAGTAATTTATCTATGCAAAACGATAACTAACCACTGTTACCGTTTGCGATCGATTGCCGGTTCGATAAGAGTGATGAAAGACCGAAGCGATGTTGTCATGTGTGTTTTAAATATTTAATTTAATGAAACTTACTTACTGACTACAAATTTTGGCTTAACTTAGAAAAACTTAATGCCATTTATTTGTTAATTACCCAATTTAAAAACGTTCTAGATTAGATTATAAAAATTAGTAGGATTGTGGTGGGCGATATAAAGCATTTGAACTTGTAAAAACTATTATGCCATTTAGACAAAAATACATTGACTTTTGGACCATGGGTCATATGAACTTTTTGACTTGTTTTGACTCCCCTATTACCCATTTCAATAATGACTACCATAACGTTTACACCCTGTAGAATTCCTTACTTATCACCAAAATCCTTTTATCCTTTTAGAAGGGTCTTCTTGAGCAGGCTATAAAATATGAAACATTCTATTACCCAATATCTTTAAAATGCGTCTTTCTTTCTTAATGAAATATTTCCTATTTTATTAAGTATTCGAAAGATTTTGATGATTAGCTGTTTAGTTAATAAGCGAAATAATGTAAAAACGCTTAACTTTGACAATCCACCAGACAGTCACTTTGAAAGATAGAAACTTGATCGTAAGAAGCTTCAAAATTTCTTTTAACAGTTTTTCAATGTGGCATCAAGTCGTCATTTTAGAATATTCATCTGTTATCTGTATACTAAAGTGTAGTATCTATGCATTAATTCCATCATTCCTGAATTTGAATTTGCCAACATGACCGGCTATTACGTATTTCGAAAAGTGACATTTTGTCGGTTTTTTGTGATATAATGTAGGTTTTTCTAGCACTAACTGATGTACACTTGTTGTGAACTGGTTTTGTAGCTGTACGTGTTGCCTAGACGTCAGGAGGCTTCAGTTATCAATGTTTGGGTCTGATGTGATGTAACATCTGCTCCAGAGAGTTATATACTATAGCTGGAAGGAAACGGCAGTGCATAGGTGCATAGTGAGGATTTGTGTGCTAATAAATCTGTGTTGATGATAATTCCATGTGTTTCTTGTCTCAAATACATTTACTCAAGATGCATCCAAAGCTAGAAATTAGTTGCGCATCCACTTTTCCTCATTCAATCTGGAAATTTCATATGCAAATTTGCTGAATTTTGAAAATGAATGAGATAAGAAAAGAAAATTCCTGGTTGGTGAGAAAATATGTTACACACCGGAATATTTATGAAAGTAAAAAGGTTTTTAGATTATTTTTCATTTCCAGTCATTTAAATTTTTATAGAAATTTGTTTTGGAAATATGTGATGCATCATTCTCAACTTTTCAGTGATTTGGCTCAACGCCTGCGCAGTGGTGATTTATCGTAATGCTATTCAAAGTTTTTAAAAACACAAAACGAATGGTAAAAATCGAAATGTATAAACTTGAATATAATAATAGTGCGTCGGGCACAGCTAATAGATATACTTCATTGGCAGCATATTCTGTTATACTCGTAGTTTTCTCACATAGCAAATATTACTGATTTTATACTCATGATAAACACCATAGACTTCTCGGCTTCATCAAACATACACTCGGCTTACTGCAACCAATAATTCATTCTTGAGCGTCTTGTGTCGTTGAGTCATTCCTCCATAGATGGACGCTCACAGCGTACATTGTGAGCAAACGTGGATTGAACTATTTGCACACTAAAAACTACCTAGTCTGCTAATTGACATTTTGTCGTCTTTTACGTTTTTTAGGTTTTTTACATAATACCCCTGCGGTTCAAAAAATAAATGGGGGACTACGTTAAAGAATAGTACTGTATATTGCTTACCGTTTTCGAGATTTCTTACTGGGAGGATCTGAAACACCTGGTGTAATGGATAACGCTGAATTACTTAGCACACATCTTTGTTATTCAAGCACCATATTCTGATGTAACAATAAATTTCTATTACATTTATTACATACATCTAGGTTCCATATAATTTTTTAAAATACATACCTTACTCTTAAGCATAGTACTTGCATCTCACATGCTGTTATGCTATGTAGCTTTACAGTTATTCCATAAACTTCAAACATGCAATTTTCTATCGATAACCCTTCTCTTAGGTGAACATCCATCCACGAAACTAACAATCTCTGCGCCCATGCATTTTAAATTCACAAACAATGCTGTCATCACTTGTAGCAGACTAACTTAAATTACTCCTTTACTATATTAAATAGGTATTGCAGACGGTTACATGATATTATTTGCCACGTTCATCTTCATCTGTATCTGTACGTTTATCGTTAATAAGCTTTTGTGTTTAAGTAGGCGGTGGTATTCCGTGTTTCAGCATTATAATTTTCCTCTGAGTAAAACAGAAATGGCGTAAAAGATGAGAATATAATGCATATGGAAGTAATCAAGTTTTTACAACATTGATTGGCGTTCAGTGATTACGGCTGTACTTACCTATAGTATGTCCCTTTGAAAAAAAACGTTCACCCCTTGGACTTTGCACTCTTCATTCAAGTCTTCCTCCAGGATGCGTTACTGTCTGTTTAACATTCAAGGAGAGATCATTCCTCAAACTGGACTCATTCAGTGAATGTGATTTTCATCGATCTACCAACGGAATTTGTTCCTTTGTTGTTTCAGTCTCTCTCGTTGCTTTTGCTACATTTTGTCCGTGTTAAGCTGCGTACAGACCGGAAATCCAACTTCGAGCAAGCTAATGAGTTGGTCCGTGTTGCGTTAAGTTTGACAATCGACTAAATTCTAGAAGCGCAGCAAATCCTCTCCAGGCCAAATCAAATCTCCCTATGATGTACAGATCAAGGAGGGAACGCAATCGAACGCCTACGGCTAGCTTGGAAACCGTTGGAATCTCGGTCCGTACGCGGCTTTAGAAAGAATATGGAATATCTTCCAAGATTGATCACTCCTATTATAACTGGTTCATACAATATTACAATATAATATTACATGTGTCTGATATAAAGTCTTACATATGTATAGTGAAAGATAAATATCTATTTTTAAAATGCAAGCATCAAACTAAGTTTCGCAAGAAAGTTGTTGTGTGGGAATGACAGTACTCTCATGTTCAAGATAAATACATTTTCTGTTTAATTCATACCAAGACTTCGCGTTATCAGAAAGCTATTTCTACTTAGTGATAAGAAGTAACGAAGCAAACAGAATTACTTTTTTGACGATTTGTTGGATAAGAACTCTTATGTGATTAGGAGAATATTCGACAATATCAACGATGATGAGAGCAACAAACTGTTGGTTGGAGCTACATCAGAATTGTTACTAAAGTGTCGGTTTTTATTTGTTTTATTTATTTTTCTACTAGCTTCGCCGAGCTTAAACTGTGATAATTCAATACTATGAAAAAAATGCGTCAAGTAGATTGACTCTA